ACAGAAAACTATAGGCTAGCCTTAAATGACCCCCTCCTACTTCCAGAATGCCTCAGTTTGGTAGCAAAGCAGTACATAGGGCATGATCATAAACGCTTTTTACATTTACCTCAATGCATTCAAAGAAAAGGATTTTACAGGGAGTATAAAAATGCTATTTTCTTTCTCGTCCACTGAGGGAACCAGGCAGTCTATAACATTTGGAACATCCAAAAGCCATCCAATTGAGAAGTAGGCAACACAGCAAACAAACTCGAAGAGGCCCAAGAAAACAAGAGAGAACCGGGGACTGTTTGAAGCTCAAAAAGCCACCTGAAGACCTTATCCCCAAGCTGCCATCAGATGAGACCACAACATGCAGCTGGTAGAATCCACATCTATAACCATCCTCCTAGCTCACTAGCAATAAACTGAGACATGCTGGTAGTAGGAGGGTTTTCCTGGCATAGTTTTTTTTTGCCGATGTCCAATTCTCCTGCCGGTAGCAGTATAACGTGAAGGTTAAAGACTTCCTGTGTTCCTTAGTGGACAAGAAAGAAAAGCATTCATGCCTTGGAAGTTTTTAACATTTAGTAGATGCACCTTTGGCAGTCTGTGGCTAGGTCTCTATCAGCTTTGAGCATTAGGAAACTGCACTTTTCCCTCAGGTGCTGTTGTTTTTGAATACTAATAGTGAGTGAACAGTCGCAACCTCAAATTCTCTATTGGACTGTGATCTAGACTCTGACAGCAATGTCATTTTGTGTTGTGTGTAAACTAACCTTTTCTCAAGGCTCAAGCTTGTGACAGACAGCATAAGATGTGTTAAAGGTAAGAATTATTATTATTTAACAAAATATATATTTTAACCCCTTCATGAGGAATATATAATATAAAAAACCCATTATACCATGGGAGCTCCCATTGTTGACTGAGGCAAATTGGCATGGAAATGGAATAGTGGAGACAAGCGCCACTACCAGAATGTGTGAATTGCTAAAGCTGGCCCTACACCTATAGGTTTTCAATAGGAAGTGTTCATATTCCCAAGAACCTTCATTCAAGTCTAGCTCTAATAGCTCATCAAGCACAGACAGTCGATTTTGATAATCGTTCATTAGCAATACTAACTCACCAAATTTTGTAGATCGACAGAACTAATTTTTTTTTTTGTGCAGTGTTCTTGCTGCGATTTTATTTTCAGTAAAAAAAAAAAGTTTTCCAGCCTCACCCTTCGAGAAAATTTGAGCAGGATTACAGTAAAAAAAATTGTTGGTGTCCCATCAGCTGTTCAAAAGACCATTCATGGAAGATTTGCAAATGATAATCAAAGAGTGTATGGGCACATTAAGTGTAAGGGAATGGAAAGGGTCAATGGTAACATGATGAAAAGATCAGTCTGATTGTCTAGGTGTTGGGAACACTGTTTCTTCTGTACTGGATACAGTAACAATGAAGGGCTTCACTGGAAGGATCACAGCTTAGAA